TATATAACTTTAGGACAGTTTTTATTAAAAAGAATGCAAACCTTTATTATGACACCCCTTCTGTAGGCCGAAAAGAACAATGTTAATTGAAATAAGCGCCGCTCTCGTACAAGCGCCGCACCTATAACATGGAAAATAAAAAGCACCGCGGCGCTTAAAGGCTGGTTTTCAGTAGCGGCGAAGTCGGAGTCGGAGTCGTAAGCGGAGTCGGAAGAAATGGAAACGTCTTCAATTCCGTCGCGCTTATGACTCCGCTTACGACTCCTATTATTGATTTTCACTAGGTCATAAGCGCTCTTACAACTCCGCTTACGACTCCGACTCCGGCTCCGTCGCTAGTGAAAACCAGCCTTAATCGATCATTTACGGTAGTTCATTTTTTTTTTTGCAGGCGCTTTCAATTACCGATGATGACCGTTTTCGAGATTTAAATCCCTCCAACTTGTACCGCTCTAAGAGCGCCGATGCACTGACACCCAGTCGAAAAAACATGGCTATCATCTCGTGACGGATAGCAAGGTGAAATTCGCACAGATTGTAGATTGATTAAAGGAGATCATGTCGAGACTGATGACTTGTACAAAGTTTCCTTTGGGAACGTGAAAGGGCACAGAAAGGACTAGCAGACGACGCTGGCGTGACTACCAAGGTGAGTTGCGTGACAAGCCCTAAAGACAACGTTCTTGTAACAAAGATAGTGCAAGAAATTAGAAGCGGAAATGCTGGATGTAAAACAAGTTATGGCTGGAATGACCAGTCTCCTAAACAAGAGAACAAGGCATGTAGGAAAGCCATGGAACAAAGTAAGTTTCGTTTAGAAAAACTCAAGAACAATAAGTTTACTGAAAAACGCAACACTGCTGGCGTGACAAGGTGGTAATCAATTTTTGGCAATGCCCTCTTCACGAAAGCTTCGATGACATCTTTATTGCCGCACGATAACATCAATCATAGACAGCACTTCCAAAAAACAGTGCACTTTATTCGCTGTGTTAGATTTTAGTCGCTGGAGAAATCAATCTCTTTCTTCTCTAAAAGGTGATCTGAGAGTTAAAAAGGTTATTCTGTAAAACGAACAACTTTAATAGTGAGAGTCGCGCGAGGAAAATAATAGCCGCGCCGCCTTCACTCGCGCCGTTAGACTCGATTTCCGCGTTTCTGTTAACCTGGGCTTGTGTCTAAGACGCAGGCGCCGGTTTTTTTTAAAGCGAAGGTAAAAATTTCGAGGACCCACGCGCGCACGAGGGGAGAAAAGGAGAGGAGGCCACCCTCCATCGCGTGTTCCCCTCGCGCGTCCTATAAGAACTAGCTGGTGCCTGTTACGCAGGCTATTTTTCTAGAGGGTCCCCAACAGGTTTTTGGGGATTCGGGATTTGCCTCGTTTGAAGGCCTGGATTCCTGGGGATTTTAAAGCAAAATGGGGGCAAAATTCGGGATTGAAAGTATTCACGGGATACGGGATGCCGGAAATAACTATTGGGATTACGAGATGAGGGAAAATTTGGGTCGGGATGACAGGTAACCCTTGAAGTCCCAATTATGACCGACATCAATTTCGTCCTGACAATATCCATACATTGTCAAGAAATACGGTTATGAGAATTAACAAAATGATCACACAAGAGAAAATGCCTTGATCTGTTATTAAATCCTCTCAACTAATTCTTTAAGGAAGTGTATGGAGATCAGTTTGGAGAACTTGTATGTTTATATTGGGCCTTAAAGGGTTAATAAACCCTATTGGGGATACTCTTTCTATTGGTAGCTACGTCCTCTAAACCGCCGTTATAGGGTCGTCGTGTTACGCTCCGCTTTCGACAGTGTTCGCAGGGTCATGGAATAAATTGAAAATTCATGGAATGTCAGGAAACTAAGTCAGAGATTGCCTTGAAACTGTAACAAATATATTAAAATGCTGAAGACAGCTACTCAACCGAAGGTTGTAGAAAACTGAAAATGTCATTCATGGAAAGTTATGAAATTTGAAAAGCTGAGGAAAGTACGATCCCTGCACGACCGAAATAACGGCCTTGAGCGATCAAAGCCTGCAAACTTTTATGCTTCTTTAAAGGCAAAGGAAATAGAAAGAGTATGCCCGTTCTTCGTAGAAGCGCGGCCTTATCCTTCCGAACATCGCAATAATCAAGTATAACAATTTACGTTAAGATTCTTATCGATGCGTAAGCGAGTAAAAACGTTTGAGAAATAATACAGTGTCCCCAAGCTCGTAATATGACGGTGAACAATGTTGCGAAACCTTCGAAATATTAGGATTTGCATTGGGGAGCAATAACTGTTTCCTTAAGTCGATTTGTAAATATTGAGGCTGTAATCTTTATCGCCATGCACATTATTCAAAGGTTACCTAACAGTTACCATCGCTCATATCCCGAGCTTGGGTTACCTGTGAAAAAACGGTGTTCCGGTGTCATCGATAACCTAATGGTAGATTCATTTCCAAGTTCCCTTTTCAACGATGTCTTGATGACACCGAAACGTCGATTTATCTCGCCAGGTTTTACTTTTTTGCGTTAAGATTGCATCAATAATTTTTTAATTCGCAGTGTCATACTCAAACAGTTTTCTCTATTCTTCCTTAACATTCGTAGAGTTTTGAAATATTCCTCTATTGTTAACACAAGGCTCCAGGGAGGCGAAACGTGCGAACTTCGAAAATACGCCGCTCTCATTTTGCTATTCCTTTAAGCTCAGCCGAGTTGCTGATTTCTGCCTCTCTCCTCTATTCATTTTAGCGTGATTTTAACTATGTTTTCTCGATTAAACTCGGGCTGTAAGAGAGGAAGTTGTAAAAAACACTCACCGACATATATTTATGAACGTCTAGAATGAATGATGGAGTCTTGCAATGTGGTTCTACCTTTTGAGTCTGTGGATGAAATCCTGCAGTGTGACCATTCAAATGAAAGCTACTGAGCAGTACTTTCCTGTGGTACTGTTTATTATCTTGTACGAGGTGGTTCTAACTTTTGAGTCTGTGGATAAAATCCCATAGTGTGACCATTCAAATGAAACCTCTTTGTCAGCACTTTCGCGTGGTGCTATTTCTTTTTTAGCATTTTACAAAATGAAGTTTGGAAATGTGTCAAATTTTGACTTCGCGATCTTGCGGAAGTATAGAGTAAAATACATGGCTACCAAAGGGACCCAAATACGCTTCAGAATCAAACAAACGTCGAGTCTCCCGAGCCGGGAACGTTTAATCAAGAAGATATGGAAATAATCAATCACATCTGTTGTTTTTAGAACAAATGATCAGAAGTATCCTGCTATTGCTTACAGTTTTAATTTAAAGCCAAATCATTCCCAGTGTCGTTTTTCATGTGTTGTAAATAAGCACGAATATGCTTTTTTCAAAGAAATAAATTTATTGAAACCGCATATGCTCGGTGTCATTGACTAATTGGGGGGCGGGGTGCGATTTCTGTGGGGTAGGGAGTTAACATTTCCTTTGTAACAGCCTTTCCTTCATCATCAGTCAAGGTGCATAGAGCACTTTGAGAATAAAAGTTTTTTCGCAACCGTTCCCTTACAGCCTCGTCCCCAGGCCAATTCGCGCTAGCGGAGTTAGTGGAGGAGGCTTGAAACCGAGCGCGAGGCCATTTCCGGGTTCCAAAAATTCTCACTTTCAAAACCAGGCTTAGTGCAAAACCTTTGTATTGAAAATGAGTTTTCTTTGCAAAGGCTCGATTTGAAACAGAGGCTTAAGGTAACTCGGAAATAGCGTATTCTCTCCACAAACTGGACAGGTGACGTCACATCCGAACGTCTGAGGACGAATCTGGTTCTTTGTAGTTCTTCAATCTCACGTTCTCTTTGTGTTCCTTATACATTTTAATCCGCGTGCGGTTGGGCAATCCCGTAAAACTCTACCAGGAAATCCTCAAGAACAGTGCGGAAATCCGCATTAAATCTTGAGTTTCTTTAAACAATCGTACCCTCCAGGCGTGTGGTTGACTTAATGCAAGGAGACAATTCAGCTTTCGGTGGAAAGGAGAAAGGTCCCCGAAATAGACGATCATTAATTAGAGGAAGAAAAATGCGGGGACCTGGCAAACCACTATTGCTCACTACCTAGTGTAAAACATGGGAAAACTGTGTAAAGCTGGTATGCCTCGCTTGAAGCGAAAAGACAGCAATATTATAGCAAATAATGACAGCAAGAAGATAGCGGAGCACACAAGAGCTTGGTTCCGAGGTACTTCACAAGGTAATGAGCCCCACGGGATCCCCCACGGGTGTAATCGAACCACAGTGAGTAGGAGAGAGCCCTGGAAACGAAGTTACTTTCACAGACCATTCAGAATTTCTAACGGTGATAAATGAACCCAGGAAAGCATAGAATCTTCTTTGACTTGATGCGAAAGCGTTGTCAATTAATAAATGTAGATGAATCCTTGATGAAAATAGGCCTGAACAAAAACGTCACACACCTAGACTCCCTGACAGAATTTCTAATATCTAGTCTGCTTTCTCAAGTAGATTAAGGCCTGGTTCTAATTCATTTGTTTGTTTTTTTTGTACATTTTCCAAATACCATTGTTGAAGACATTCAAGAGGCATGATAGATAGTGAAGTAAACTAAACTTGAAAAAAAATCCAACTTTTTTGGTCACATAATCGATCAGGCCTTTTATTATTCGAAACTTGCAACCAACGATGCCCACGGTATCAAAACATTGACCCTACAAAGTGTCTACGAAATCAGCTCGGAATGGTTGGCCCCTTCTCGTGCGTTATTATTATTGTCATTATCATTATTTTTCTTGTTATTGTCATCGATGTTGTTGTTGTTATTTGCTGCTTGCTAAAAGTTTCGAGTTACTGTCTAACCAAAACAGTCGCGCCCAATTCACACTGGAGGGAGATGGACTCCGATCTTGACAAAATTGCGTGGGCGGGACCAAATTCCTCATTCGTCGACCAACAAACATCAGAAGTCTGGGGACCAGTAAACTCTGAGAAGGGAAATTAAGCACCGTCTCAGCAAAATTACGGTCGGATGTTATTAGGGAGTTTTAAATATGATGATCTTTTAAACGCGACCTTTTTTGCAACGTATATGTACCGTTATCTACCCTGCCGCTCCCGCACGAAAGGGAGAGGAGGCCCCCTCTCCTTTTCTCCCCTCGCGAGTCCTCGTGAAGTCTTCCTTCGCCCCCCAAAAAAGCGGAACCTGCTAGGCAGGCTAACTGTTAGCTGGAGGATTTAGCACGGTTTGACGGACAAAACTCGCCAAACACCAACAGAAGACTACAGAACGCAGCGGAATTCTTCCTCAGACCCTGTCGACCGTCTCCTATGTCCGAGGAAGACTGGATAAAAACACGCTGAGTCATCACTTTATCATTGCCGACTCTTGCAAATCTCAGAAATCTATAAATTGCTGAAGGTAAGGAGAGCTTCTCAGTACATTATATACATATCTTAGAGTGATTTACGTGTTAGCATTAATCTTCACAAGAAAAGAGCCAAGATTTTAAGCCTGTAGTGTTGTACGAGTTCGCCTCGCTTGGTTCATAAAGCGCCTGTTATGCAGGCGAGTACTGCACCAAATGAGTATCGGACCACTTTACCGCTAGGTTAAATTGTTGCTCAGAAATCCCATGAGTATATCGGATTGAGCTGATTATATTTGCCTTCGTAACAAACGTTTCCGCGCGAATTTGTTGAACAAAAGCGTTCCACCTTCAACGAACTCGCGTTGAAACGCTTGTTGCGCCGACTATAGCGGACAGACAGACTTAAGTTGTAGGGTTCCCAGCGATTTATGACATTTAAAACTTACAGTTTAGTGGAGATATATCGTTGTTTTAGTTAGGCAGTGTTGCAAAGACAAGCGGGCTGGGGGTGGTTAGGATTTTGTAAATACGGGAGATCTAAAATCTGGAAATTGTCTCTCTTAATTGTCTTAAAGTAATTTGCAACATCAACCACCCCACCCTGCATAACTGCAAATCAACCCATGGCTGTGGCTTAGGACATTATACAAAGTCTTACATAAAGTATATACTGGCTCTGAACACTGGTGTGTTTTTATTCAAAATCACGGTATCAATAGTTTTGCAAGACAAGGTTTGAAAAATGTCAGCTTCAATGGTACAACAGTAAATAATTTCATTGCACCTGTAATTACTACTTACATGTAACAAATGTTTGTATTGTTGCAAGTACATTTGGGAGTTTGTCCATATCTTGGGAAAGTGCCCCTTTGTTTACCTCACTGGATTACATTGTTTAACTTAATTTATTTTATGATGAAAAGGATTGATAAAGGAAGCAGCATGTCAACACATGAAAGAGTTCACACTGGGAAAAAACCCTATGAATGTAAGCAATGTGGCAAGAGTTTTAGTCAATCAGGAAACCTAAAGTCACATCAGAGAGTCCACACGGGAGAGAAGCCTTTTGAATGTACATGGTGTGGCAAGTGTTTTAGCAGAGCAGGGCACCAGAAAAGACATGAAAGAGTTCATACTGGAGAGAGGCCTTATGAATGTAAACATTGTGGCAAGTGTTTTAAACATACGCGAAATTTGAGGGTGCATGAAAGAGTTCATACTGGAGAGAGGCCTTATGAATGTAAACATTGTGGCAAGTGTTTTAAACATACGGGAAATTTGAGGGTGCATGAAAGAGTTCATACTGGAGAGAGGCCTTATGAATGTAAACAGTGTGGCAAGTGTTTCAGCCAAGCAGCAAATATGAGGGTGCATGAAAGAGTTCATACTGGAGAGAGGCTACATGAATGTAAACAGTGTGGCAAGCACTTTAAACATACAGGAACTTTGAGGGCGCATGAAAGAGTTCATACTGGAGAGAGGCCTTTTGAATGTAAACATTGTGGTAAGTGTTTTCAACGAACAGGAAATTTGAGGATGCATGAAAGAGTTCATACTGGAGAGAGGCCTTATGAATGTAAACAGTGTGGCAAGTGTTTTCAACATACAGGAAGTTTGAAGATGCATGAAAGAGTTCATACTGGAGAGAGGCCTTATGAATGTAAACAGTGTGGCAAGTGTTTCAGCCAAGCAGCAAATATGAGGGTGCATGAAAGAGTTCATACTGGAGAGAGGCTATATGAATGTAAACAGTGTGGCAAGTGTTTTAGCAGAGCCGATAACCTTAGGAGACACGAAAAAGTCCACACTAAAGCAAGGAGGGGTACACGTCACGGTAACAGACGTGCGTCTAAACGTTTGCTTCGTCAGCGCAATAGCAGAGGATTTAAGAGAACTGATATCAGTTCAGGAGTTACAAACAACCAACTGACTCAAAGAGACTCCAGAAACAGAAGACGTGTAGTAAACTTCCAATCAGCTACCGTTGAGACACACAGCTGTTGGATTTGTCAAGAGAAGATGAGTGGTGGAGTTCTTCTTCTTCAACATTATCAAAATCATATGAGACATGTAAATGAAGATGAGTTGTAAAATCAGATGGTTCTCGTTCTTGTTTTCGTAAGTTTCGTTTCTAATCTGTATTAGGTTTTGCCATTAAGGAAAAGCATGGCAACGTTTGGTTTAGGTTACTTGTCATGAGAGGCTTGTATTTTCAGTGGGTTGTTTTATCTCCACGAAAAGTTCGAATTGTGATTTTCTTACGTGATTTGAATTTAGTTAGCAGACGTTCCTTTGTTGTGGGCGGGAAGAAAAATTATTTTGCAATCCCGTTATGTTCTTTTCGCGATGGATAATTCAACCAACTTTTTGAAAGAGAAAACATTTGTGAACTATTTTGAAATTTAACATGTGGACAGACAATCCTATGAGATGAGCTCGTTGAATATCTGTATAGAATATAACAATACAGCAAGAAAACGGCAAGAGTATTTTTTAAAAAGTTTTTATCAGTTAGAGTGACATGGAAGAAAACCTTATGTTTGCCTCGTTTACTTGACAACCCATCCGCATAAATTTTCACATTGTTCCGGATTTGAAGGCCAAAAAGAAAGGTACCGGCTTTGTCTCGAGACGATAGTTTAAGCAGAAAGCTAAAACACACACACACGCAAAAGTATTTTGAGAACAATACGATCTGAGCATTCGTGATTGCAGTTTATTTTGTGTTTTGTTTAAGCCTCTTGTTGAGTACTATTGCAACCCTAGTGGTTCAGAAAATATACGTATCGAGAGCGTTCTGACTTTGTTGCTACTAGTAGTCAAAACACACTTCTCAAATGGACTGACATTTAATATCTGGTCAAACACGCCTACGAGGACTTAAAAAATAAATTGACCCGAGAGAATTCGAGCTTCCAAATCATCTTTTTCACGTTTTTTGACTCTCAAGTGACGTAGAATGCTACCTCTTGTTCAGAGTTCTTCCTTGACAAATCTTCCGGGGCCCAGTTGTTGCAAGGCCATTAGCGCTAACCCGAGTTTAAATTTTAACCTGGGTTTCTTGCTCAGTCTGTTCAAAAGAATTTTCTGGGATAATTTTCTCTATTCTTTATAGCGCATCAAATCATTGCATTGCAGGCAAAAAGAAAACTGAATTTGGTTTTTAGTTTTCGCACTAACCCTGGGTTATCTTGACCCTACTTTGAACAACCCGGCCCAGGGTAAATTTTCACGTTTTTGACTCCATAAAAACACACGCGTTTTCTTGACCCGGAACGCAAAGTGAATACCCACAAAATCACATCACATTAGAAAACACCTTCTTACTATTTTCCTTTTTCTTTCTAAGCGTCGTCTTCGCATCCTTCTGTCAAAAAAAGAAATAACCACCCCATTTCCAGCTTCATAAAATAGCCGACATTTCGTGACGTCACCACTGGTGTCCCCGCGAAATGACTGACGTCTTAGGAACGAGCTCAGACATTCCATACTGACGACGTGTCACTACCCAGATCAGGGTAGTGCCTTCGATTGGTTGAGCAAATTTTTAACCAGTGAGACGAACTACCCAGCTCTGGGCAGAATTTGTTTGATGAGATTATTCTTCTGACTCGTTACTTGATACTTGATACTTGACACCTTCTTGTCGAGGTTGCGTGATCTGGCGGAGCTTGAGGAACGTCGTTTTTAAGCGACAGACGGCAACCGGCGGAAAAAGAGTTTCTGCAGGCGGTTGTTTAGTCCATATTTTCGATCAATTAAATCGCCTCTATAAGAGAAAAGACACGAAGCAATACAAATTTGGTAGTAAAACCATAAACAGAACTATTTCTGGAATGTTTAATATTCTGTTGCAAGAAAAAAGCCAATCGGACGTGAGAAGCTAAAAGGCAAGAAAGAACGCTAATATGTTTTGTAGTTGCCCATCCTCGGAGACCCAGGGGCAGTCAGTCGGGTCGGGAGAAAAGGCGCGACGAAAGTTTTCAAGCACATGCGGAAAAGCCCCTGGGTACCGACTCTCAACGGACCATTTCCAAACGGTCAAGCGAATGCTGGCTCCTGATTGGGCACAAAAAATGCTTTGTATTATTGTGCCCAGTCGGCGAACAGCATCTCCTGAGTTCTGTTCATGAGTTCGTAGACGTGACTTGATCACGGCTTGTCTGGCTCATGCATCAAAGAAATGCACGCAGTCAGGAAACTTTCAGTTTGATATTAACTCTCCATTTCAAAATACTGTCTACCCGAAAACTGAAGAAGCTTTTCCAAAAATACAAGCTTGAGCTTACAACAGGTATTTACGCTTACATCGATTACACATTCGATGCCACGACAGCCGACAGCCACGAAAACGTCGCATGAAAAGTGAATTCACATTTTTTCAGTCTCTGTCGTGATTATTCCAACTAGCCAGGAGCCCATCAACTCTTCTGGAGCTGAATTTCTATCAACTCGATCCAAGTTCATAAAGAGAAAAAAAATTTTGTCATTGCTTGTTTACGTCCTTCATGAAACGTGAAAGTAGGCATTTTCACGTGGTAGTGGTGCAGTGACGGCAAAGAAATGTACAAAAAGCGTGATGCACGTGCAAAATTGTTGTTTTGTCTTGTCAAGCTATTGCCTTTTTTTTTACTTTCTCGTCGCCACTGCATCTTAAACTTCCTATTAATTACGATACATTGTGATCCGTCAGAAACAAAATTTTCTCAGTGCAAACTGAATTGCTCCTGCTGATAGCATCCGAAACGTTTATCGACTCTTCGGTACTTTCTTCATTTCTGGTTAGGGAAGCTTGGTGAACGAACGGGGTAACCGCGGCGAGAAAATAGCCGTCGTATACGAACTCACGAAAAGAACTCACGAGAAACTGTTTGCCGATTGGGCACAATAATACAAAGCATCTTTTGTGTCCAATCAGGAGCCAGAATTCGCTTGAACGTTTGGAAATGGTCCGGTGAGAGTCGGCGCCCACGGGCTTTTCGGCCTGTGCTTGAAAACTTTCGTCGCGCCTTTTCTCTCGACCCGAGTGATCGCCCCTGGGTCTCCGAGGATGGTAGTTGTCCTGATCTTTGCTGTGATTGGTCGTATCAAAATAAACGTAACCGAAATATTTCAAGTGTCCACGGTTTTGCCGGTTTGACTGGAAAAGGTAAAAGGTCTCACTTCCGGCTGAAGAACGTCGCCCCGGAGCCCTATTCCAAACAAGGTTTGTGATTGGCTGGACAAACAATAGGGATGGTGACATAACAATGCTCCTATCCCTAAAACAATAGGTAGTGCAGGTTATAGGGACCAATTTGATAAGAGGTCTGGATTCGTGCAGGTCAATCGGCCCATAACCCGGAGCGAGTAACTCCCATGCTAGGCCTATATCACGGCGTTTTCACGGACAGGTTTATTTTAAGACACATTTTAGAGCTCTTTTTCCCACAAAAGTGGAATCTCCGCTCCCTCTATGAGGGCATTCAAAGTGTAAGATATCAAAAAGGAAAACTGGAGCTAGCATGGCGAACGAATAGGTCACGTAATGTTGAGCAGGAGGCAGTGATTGCAATTTTTCATCTTTATACGCCTCTAATGTCTTCCAAAAGGAAAGGCAGATCTAATGCAGCATCTCAATCTTCTAATCAGTCACCTGAAGAGAAAAGAAGCAAAAATAGTGAAACGGACGAAGTGTTTGAAGCGCTGGAGATGGCTGAGGACGTCGGTCTGAAACTGCAGCGTGTGCTGGATATATTAGAAAAACTCGATAAGATAGAAGCGCATCTTAGCGAGGTCTCTGCCAGTCTTGCTAGTATCGAGGAGAAAGTATCTCGTTTAGATGAAGATGTACAAGACCTGAAGCAAAAAACAGACAGAGTGGAAAAGAAAGCGTCCGAATTGGAAGAAAGTATCCAGTTCAACGAAGACGACATTTCAGACCTGAAGAAAAAGTCAAAGGAGTCAAAGTTTGCAATAAATGATCTTCGCGAGCAGTTATTGTATCTAGAAACCTACTCAAGAAGAGAAAGTGTTAAATTCTTTGGGATTGACGAAGTAGTGCCGGCTTCTGCAGTTGACTCCCCACCCGAGGATACAAGAGATTTAGTGAAAACCCTCGTGGTAGAATCGAGTTCCAAAGAGTCCATCGATTGGGAAAGCCTAAAAACAGTAGTGACAAACCTCGCCCAATTATCGCACGTTTCTTACGATATTCGGACAAGGAAATGGTAATGGATCAAGCCCGCAAGGAGTTAAAGAGTCAAGAGGACAAACAATTTTCGGTGTTTGACGATGTACCAAAAGAACTTTATGAAATAAGGAAAAGTCAGATGAAAAAGTTTAAGGAAGCCAGAGGCAGATGCTGTACAGTATATTTCAGCAAAGCGCAAGCAGATAAGTTATTTGTTAATGGTAAATTTATCCCTGCAAATGCTCCATTGATAGATTTTGTTTATAGGTACGAGCACCGCTCTCTACACATGTCCAGATATAAAATGTACATGAAAATATAATACTCTCGTCGGAGCTTTTCTTTCACTCTGCTCTCAAATAGTCATGTATTTGCATATTATTTCCTCGTAATCTGTTGTAGGCGTTAAGTACATTCACCTTAAAACTTTATTTCCGAATCACTGTCTCTAAAGTTCAACTAGGCATTTTGGTGTCGTACGCAAACATGCAATCTCAAACAACTTTACTAAGTTCCATTCCAGGGCGCAGCATTCGAGATAGTTATCTTGCTGCTCTTTTAATTGTTTGTATCAGTATTGAGTGGTTGTACTCTATTGTTTTTGTTTTCGTTTTCGTGGTTATTTTCCTTTCATTTTCTG